TGGCTATGAAAGCATCGTTTTGATTTTAAGTTATTTTTTTATTTTTAACAAAATTTTTATGAGATTAAATCTTAAGAAAACTTATTATGTATGTACAAATGTAGTTATTGATAGACGAAACAGTCAGTTTTTCAGCCATTCTGATGGATTTCAACTCAAATCTGGGTTTCTAATTTATTATATATATATATGTAAGAATGCTCATGTACATACGAGGTGTGTTCAAAAAATATCGCGAATTTTGTGTTACTTCAAAAATAATTTATTTATTCATGAATATCTATTTTGTCCCCTTCAAAGTAATACCCATGAGATATTATACACTTTTGCCAACGGTTTTTCCAATCTTCGAAGCACTTCAAAAAATCATTTTTTTTTATCTTGTTCAGCTCCTCCTTCGATGTCGTCTTTATCTCGTCAATCGTAGCGTAGCGTCGTCCTTTCACGGGCCTCTTCAGTTAAGGGAACAAGAAAAAGTACATGAGTACCAACATAACGCCACAAAAAAATCGAAATTCGATTATACTTAACCCACGAAAATTCAAAATTCGCTATACTTTTTGAACACACCTCGTATATATTTGTAATTGGCGCTTTTTAACGGCTGAAGCGATTTCCGGCTGAGCTCCTACTTCAATTTGTAATTTTCCGCCTTTGTATTTTTCCAACAAATGAAACAACATATACATATTATACATATGTATTCATGCGTATGTATGTAAGTAAAATTGAAGATCTAACTTTCATAAATCCTAGACATATAATAGACAGCAACAATTTCCTTGAGCTTACTTTGACAGCTGACAAACAGAGTGGATCTCTAAAAACCACATACTAACACACTCATACATGCGTATATATATATACATATATACATATAAATAATATGAGACAACAGACTGTTAGTTGCCGGACAGCGGGCAGTCTACATAGATATAACCAATTTAATACCCAACTTATTTAAGTAATTTCTGCAAACAGCGCCAGCATTCATGAATACTCGTCTCACTTGAAGCTCCAACATGTTGCCTGAAGTAGTGCTATGCGCTCGCATTTCTCTTTATTTAATATATTTTTTGTCGCTGTGTATGCTGTCACCGAGCTTGTCAGGCTGCCCATCAGCAGAAATGTATGAGTGTCGGTATGCATGGATGAATGTGTGTGGCGGAATTTATTTGATTTTATTGTTATTTTCTTTAAGTAAACAGTTATTTTCTTTGAATGTCTGTCAGCGCTTTTCCTTCGTTAATTCTACTTTTGTTCATTTCTTGCTGCTTTTGTTTTTTATATGTATGTATGTGTGCATATGATTTGCGCAAATGACAATTTTTTCCTTCCACCTTCATTTCATTTCTTTTCATTTTTTTCGTGGAATGCTTAACTTAATTTCATGTTTCTACTTTGTCAAGGACTTCGTCAATCCAGACATTTGTTTTAAGCTCAAAGAAAAATTTGCGAATTTAGCTTGCGAGGACTGGCATTGGAAATGTGTAAACAATTAGTGGAATTTTGGTAAATGAAGCATTCATTTAGAATAGAATTCGAATGAAGAGATTTGTCCTACAAAAAATAAAAAAAAATGGCAAGCCCTGCTAGAGAGCAAAAGTCATAAAATTAGAAATTTTTTTAAATTAATTTCTCACCGTTTCAAATTCGTAGCCAATAGACTTGTGCTCAAATATCTTCCTAATTTTTTCCGCAAAATACATTTGTACATACATAGTATATATGTATATCACTGAAAGTAATCCATGGAATTTTTATAAAATTTTAGTGATGTAGATTAGATAATTGACGCTGTGTAACCGCTGAAGCGATTTTTGGCTGAGTTCCTCCTCCAATTTGTGGTTTTGAGTCTTGATGTTTTTCCTACAAATGGAGGGACCTTAAATTTATACTAAGCTGCCTCCCAACGGCTGATGTTTCTTATATGGCGAGCTTTATTTCCTGTCAGAAATACACTCGGAGGGGTTCACATTCCCCGCCGAGGGGCGACGGCAATTAGAAATTTTAGCTTAATTTTTTATTCAAATTAATTTTCTACAAATTTTTGGATGTGTAGACAAAGTAGAAAGAGACTGAGAAGCAGTATAAAAATCTCGAGAGGCTGGCCGACCAGTGTAGTGCTCGAAAATTCTACGAAAAGATACGGCGACTTACAGTCGGTTTTAAGGCCGCAGCAAACTCTTGTGGAACCCAGGGAGCTGATCTAGAGGCTGATGCAGAGGATACTGAATTTATGTAGGGAACACTTCTCCAGCCTGCTGAATACAATAGTAGTGAGAATGGAACACCAAGAGTTGGCGAACTAGATTTCACAATCGATTCTGATGGAGCAGATATTTCATTAGCACAGTTTGAAAAAGTTCGAATGGCAATTACTCGCATGAAAAGTCAAAAGGCGGTGAGGGCCGCATACAGTCGGATGAAAGCGTGCGCGATTTAAACCTAAGTGTGTTCTGCCCAATCCAAGCAAAAGTAATGCTCTACAGTCTCATCCAATGAGCTTGACGTATTTTCTTGTGCTGGAATCTAGGACTACAGAAAACCATATTTCGGGCCTCGTCGCAGTCGATCAGAATCAACACTTTTGGGGATGTTACCTTCCTCGCCCACCCTGTTGCTAAGGTTGCCTTCCACGATTTACACATCTTGGCGGGACAACGCTCAAAAGTACGCTCCAGGCGCTCATTAAAGGTATCCCTTATCACATCGTCTTTTTTTCTGTCATGACATTGACGCAAATTTCGCTTTGGTATGGTGAACTCCAGTTCTTGGCGACGTACTCTCTGCCTGACCACGAATCCAACACCGGGGCGTAGGTTTGCTTTTCATTGGGCTTGGTTTCCACTGGGCGGGTTTTAAACCCAGCGCACATCCTGGCTAGGCGTGTAATTTTAAACTTTTTACATATTTATCTAACGAGCCGCTTGCTTCAAGACTGAGGGCCGCTCGCAGACGCAGCTCTGTTGAACAGACGCGAACCATTAAACCGAATGATTCGGAGTGGCTTCACTGAAGCTTGTACACTTTTAGACGTGACACAAGGCTTCTTGGAACTTAGTAGCCAATAGAAGAGTAAAGTACTCCAACCACAACCGAAACTAAGCTCTACGTATCACTCATCATTCTCGTCTTGTTATATACCGCGGAGGCATGAATGATAAGAATATCTGATGAGTCGGCATTAGCAGATTTTAAGAGAAATATGTAGTGTAAGAATTAAAGTCCTTTGTGCAATCCAGCTTTGAATGTTTTCGGTTCAGAACCCATCGTTGGAAGCAGAGGAAAAAAATACCCCTGATCCGGAAATTGACCTGACAGTACTTGGTACATTCAGTTGACGAAAAGGAAGAATAAATCGAGCATTATTTTTAACTCTGCTATAATCAAGATGTAGAAGAAACGACGTGTGTATATGATGTTTATATGTTAAAATTTTTTTTGCAATAAATTTTGACTAAGAGCTCTTTGTCCTCGTTTCACCGAAATTCTAATAAAATAGCTAAAGCCTCGCATCGCTACTCTTCAACTTTAGTTTTTCATTAGCTTAAATTTAAATTGCTTGATATACCAACACCCTCACCCACACAATCACATTCTGCCACAACTACTCAACTATTCAAACCTAATTAGTGTGTAGTCAGTCTGCACGATTTAGTATATGCATTAATAATCTCAATGTGGCTATGATATTTGGCATTTGCATGAACTTTCATTTAGCCTTGCCATCAGCATAACCGTTTTGAACAATTTTCATAAATATGCATACATATGTACATATGCATACCATAGTAGGGCTCGTCATTTGCCTGTCCGCTCTACATTAATACTGGATGCCCGTCTGGTCGACATTCGCTTGACCGGTGAACTACCCGCTGTTATTACATGGCACCAAATGTAGAAGCAGCAGGGGGATGTGTAGTTAGTTAGAGGTAATTGAATTACTTAAAGTAACCGAGTTGAGTAACCGCAAAAGCGACACCAGAATATTTGCCATGACATTCGTGGTATGAAAGCCATTTCGTTTTTTGCCTACATTTAATAGAATAAGTACGCGGAGCGTTCCAAATGTACCGAGAGGCTTTGGAAAATCTCAAACAGAAAAAAATGTTCACATTTGTTCAGTGTTGACTTTAGCTGTGAGAGCCACCAAGGTTTTTAACAGCTCGGCGATTTTCTTTTGTTAATTGAAAACAATCAGGGATTTTGTATCAAAAGTATAACAAAGTTTGTGAAGTATTACCAATTTATCATCAATTATAAGCTGTGATTAAATCAAAAAAATACGAATAGAATAAGAACCAATGAAAAAGTGGAAAACATTAAAGAAATGGTTATGATCGATGGCCGAATAACAACTAAAGAAGTTGATGACCCTATCGGCATATTGATTGGGTTATGTTGTAATATTTGCATGATCTTCACCTATTTAAGTACCAAAAATAGAAAGAGAGACTTACAAAAATGTATACCGATGGGATCAAAACGACAAGCTGATGGATGGATACGTTAAAGTGATCATTTGCCGGAACCGCCTAAATCGGTGGACTATAGCAAACGAGTGACTTTTCATATTTAAAATTTTGGATCATTGAATTCTCAAAGAAGTATCTAAGAGCGATGTTAATGAAAAATGTGATGGATTGGTGCTGAAATTTATCCAAATTGGATGATCCCAACATATGCTTTCATGCAATCGAATTGTTCAGATATGAAGTTTGGGTACAAAACCAAAAAAAAAAGTATTTTCGAAGTATGAGATTTGGTATTCTACAAACGTATATATAAATAAGTATTGCAATAAAAAATCGTGAGCTCACAAAATCCCCTCATATGGCTCCCTCCAAATTAATTCTCTAATATGAGATTAAGTATTTAATTGTAAAATATGGTACTTTAAATCTGATTTGTTTAAGAAAGTTATAAACGCTGCCAAAGACATCGCTTTTTTCTCGTTTCCAAATTTTGTTTACTTTAAAATTTTATATTTTCAACAGAAACAGCGACGAATGGACATGCCCTAGGGGACAGTAAATAGAGTTAATGACTATACAGATGTCTCAGCATCCATATTTGCCAGCCGAAGTTACATATAACCTTTTCTATCGACAGCCAAAGTTGCCAACGATTTACATTGCTAGAATTTATCTAAAAGAAAAAATCTGCGCAATATTTCGGTTATTGGAAGGAGCCCTGGGACAATCGTTAATCTCTAACGGGAACTGTTTTAAAGGCGGCAATATCAGTGTAGGTGAGTGAATAAAGATTTTGTGGAAAATAATTAAAATTCTCGTATTTATTGAACACAACTCGTAAGACATTTTACTAACATACATATGTATATATTTATGCCAATATACAAATTTACTATATATAATTTGATTTTTGTTACTTTCGGTTTATTTCGGCTTTTATTATTGCATTATTTCTATGCTTTGGCTAAACTCAATCTGCCTTTATTTAGCAAAAATGCAGACATCGCCCTCTATTTGAACATATGTGATGCCATGTGTCTCGTCGGAAAAGCTGTAGACCAATTGCCTTTTACTAATCATTGTGTGGGCACATGCTACTGTAGAACAGAACTTTTGTACCAGCTTACTGAGATGAAGAAGTTAAAAACAAAAGAAACGAGAAGAAAGCATTTTTTTAGGACCCGCTGAAAGTCTTTTATGTTCAAATGTCTCAAAATCTAGAAAATTGTTGCTCAATATATGGCAGTCTATAGAAGTAGAATCGAATTCAGCAAGTGCTCTATGCGGTTGTGCGCTAACTACGTGAATCTAACATCAACTCGAACCACTATTTTACGCACTGCGGCCGCGGTAGCCGAGTGGTTACCATTAAGTACTGACATTCGGAAGGTTCAGGCTCAAATCTCGTGCGACCAACTACCAAAAGTTATAGAAAGTTATTTTAAATGAAGAAGTTAAGATAAAATTTCCAATTGGGGTCGCCCCTTGAGTACACTTTTGACATGAAAAACTCCGCATAAAAAAAACCATCAGCCGTTCAAAGGTAGCTGAGTATAAACTGTAGGTCCCTCCATTTTTTGGAAAATATCAAGTCGCAAAACTACAAATTCGAGGAGGAGCTCGGCGGAACATCGCTTTAGCGGTTACAAAGCGCCAATTATATATAAAGATACGCACCTGCTTTTGTGAGGCAAACAAACACACAACAAACACAAGGAAGTTTTGAAATTGAAAACCTGAAGTTACAACAAACAGCCGCATGGTTTTCTTCTGACTGGCATGTGTGCTCACTGAGAGCACTCATCAGCAATTCGGTATACGGGAACTGGGGATGGCATTTCAAGCTTTTTACTTCCCACAGATAAAATATATAATTTATTTCCTACAGTGCTAGAAGAAAAGCTACATAAGACAGAGGAGATTTTACACATAATAAAGCTGCCATCGACAGCAACTCCCGCCTTGTTGGAGGGATAGACTTCTGTACGAAGGTCCGGAAGTAGCTCAAAATATACCACACCCTGCCAATTTCACCAAACTGATAGCATAACCTTCTTTTTTTATGAATATTAGCCTTTGAAGTTGTTTTTGGCGCCTCGTCATGCTTGGACCATAATTGTTTTCAATTGACGTTTTTGCAAACAATCCAATTTTGATCTCCAGTTATGATTTGCTTAAAAACGAATTATATCCATTGCATATAAGATACAGATCACAAAGCGTGGAAGCGGCTTTCTAAACTAATTTCTTTCTATTCATGTGGTAACCAAATATCAAGTTTTTTACCAGTCCAAGACTTCGTGTATAGTTATTAACGGTTGATTTTCGTTAACTTAACTTCTCTCCAATCTCACGCTCAGTTACATGACGATTCTATTCGATTAAAGTCTTGATATCGTCATCACCAACTTCACTTGGCCGACCTGAACGTGGCTTATCTTTGAGTGAAAAATCTCCTGAAGGGAATTTGACAAACCAACTTCGACAATGTGTTTCTTTTAAAGCCTTATCATACCTTCAAATTATGAAACTTTTTAGACAACTACGCTGCATTTTTTTTTCCAGGAAATAACAAAGTAAAAGATGGCGAAAATTTTCTTTTGTGGGCTCCATATTGAAATTTATGCCAAAAAAAAAAAAATATAAACAAAATTACGCGTACGTTTTTGTTTTTCTTAAGCAAGCTATAAGCTGCCACCTTATCATAGTCATCTGTGTATTGATGTGTTTCTAAACCAAATCACTTCGAGTTTAGTTTAGTTTAGCCGTTATCGTATTTTATTAAATCAGATTTGGGTATTTCAAGCAGGTACTAGATTGAAAGTGTTTGTTCATATTTGAAAAATCTTAAGCTATTTATTTCCTTGCTGAAAAATATGAAAGGCAGTCTTAGGCAAACAATGTTATATACCTACTAACATCTACATATAAACAGCCTGTGTATGTATGCATAGACACAGTTCATTGACTTTATCCAATAACAACAGCATCTTTTTATTTTTGTTCGCTTACCTGCTGTGTTGGTTTTATGTCCTTTGTAGACGCACATTTATCCATAGACTAGCGAATATTTAGTGTGTTAAGATGCTTGTAAAAGGAAAATTTAAGCATATTTTTGATATATTTCCTCACCAAAAACTCAAAATTTTGTTTTAGTTTTAAAAATATCTTTCTTTTCAACGCTCACTTTCAAAGTGTACGCACACCCTCCACGTGTTTACACTTTACATTGATTGCTGCTGCTGCTGCTCTAGTTGACACTTACACTTTTGATGTTGCGTATACGCCCTGTAAGGCACTCAAACGCATACAGCTGACACCGACACAAATACACTTAACACGACAGAGATTTCGCAATGCTCCGTTAGCGATAAGCTGCTTAGCACAAGTACACGAGAGGGCAAAATTGTGATTGGCAAGAGATATATAATACTATGTAGATGTGTCTGTATGTATGCCACACGACCTGCTTGAAAATATTATTTACTATTCTTTCCCTTCGCAATGTAAGCGAACAAATATCACTATACCACTGCCAAGTAAGCACTTTTGCACATTCAAATTTTCTTTTATTACGCTCACATACAATGGGTTTTTGTGATTGTTTGTGTGTGTGTGTGTGTGTTTATGAGTGTGTGTGTGTGTTAGAACATACTGCACAAATAGCGAGAAGCACAGCTTCAAAACAAAAATGAAACAACAATTTATTCTTTTGCAAATACAAATCTATAAAGTGCTGCGTACAGCGCCGGAATGTCACCTCCGTGTAGGCAACCAAACGCTTTGAAATTAACTCGGAAACTGAATTCAATTGGACTACAGTTATCCACTTCATTCATATGCAAGGAGCACACCCATACATGTACAAGTGTGGCTGCAGTGATAGGGAGCTTCTGTACTGAGCTTTTTCGCTCACCGCCGCTCATGGTGAGAGGAAAATTAAGAACTTTCACTACTTTCACTGAAATGGCAAATGGCAAATGCCAAAGTTGTTGTTTGTGTTTTATGTCCTGCTCTACAACATACTTACTTATGCATGTACATATGTATGTTACATGTAATTGTGTTTGGCAACGTGATTTTATGAATGTTTGACAAATAAACAAACAGAAGTACATTGCTATTCTCCATTGAAATCAGCTGATTTTTGTTTTTATCACTGATTTGCTTAGTAACGTTGAACATGGCGAGCTAAATGAAGAAAGAGCTCTTACATACATACGAGTGCATGCATACACACTTTTATGAAGAATAAACTCAGCTGGTTCAGCTAAGACAGACTGTGTAAAGTGCGGTCTGTGCGTTGCTACTTTGGCCGCTTGTTGTTTTGACTTGGCGTCCGTTGATTATATTATTGTTGTAATATTTTTATTTCGATTGTAAAAGAATTGCATTGACAACTTATGTAGCTGTAAGTTTTAATGAGTATCAGTTATATTTTTGGATTTAATAGCAAATGTTTGAATAACTAAAAATCAAAAAATTATAAATATTTTACTAACCTTAACAATTAAATTATTAAATTTATGTAGGTATTTATATATAATTGGCACTTTTTAACCACTGAAGAAGCTCTCTGCCAATATGTTTCTTCAATTTGTGGTATTATGTACGGCGTCGACTCGGCGCAATATAACGTTATGCCTGAAAATGTCAAGCGCTGGGAAGAGTTTTGTGTGTGGCATTCTTTTGAGATTCCTCAAGAGCTTTTATAAGACTAAGAGCTAAAGTACTTATATGTGAGGCCCGAAATATAATATCGTTATACTGGAACGTATGAAAAGAGACCAAATGTTGCCTTGCTTTTAGCATTGAAGTATTGCAGATTTTCTAATAGATCTGTTTTCTATTTGCCAGTGCTAAATAATAGAGTTATTATTTTCCACTCCACTGAGTCACGTAGAGTGATTTCTCTTCTTGTAGGCAACTGCAGCTAGTGAAAAAAAATTGAAGGGAGCGCACTGATGCTAATAGTCTGAAAGTAGTATTAGCGGCGGAAGAGTTTCTAGCTAAAATTAGTAATATATTGGACAACACACACTCTTAGGGTCATTGGCTAACTTAGACGGTAAAATCGACATGACACTCATTACAAAAAGAGGTAAGGGATGCCGGCATGGAAAGGCTCCAGGCTCACCGGATACGAGCTATAAACTGCACATTATACCAGGTGTTGGGCAGTATTTTTGCACAGCAAACCAATGTGGAAGCGAAAATTGGAAGAGAGGATAAAATAGGACATTAATACGCATATAGCAAAACATTGCATTGAAATTAGCTGAGAGATTGAGGCCAATGGTTGAATTTTCAACAAGGACCTTTGGTCATAGCTCGATATGCATGGAACTGGGGGATAATATTTACCACATAACAACACGATTTATCTAAGAAAAACCGTTTCATGTCACAGTAAAAGAGAGTTGCATACAACATATCTACGGAACTTACAACATCTACACTGATTATTCAATAATGGAGTTTGGAGTGACTGTCGAAATTTATTGCGCGGAACTACATCTCAGACAATCTTTCAAGATTACTTCAGTATCTTCTAGGTGGTAGTCTTCACAATTAAATGAGCTAACATTTTTTTGCTCACGTGATCCCAAATGGAATATGGGGTTGTTTTTGGCCAAATGACAGGTCACAATCTATTAGCATCGAACGCGACCCGAACGGGCATCTTTAACGATGACACTTGCAGAGAAGAAGGCCTTTTTCACTTAAATTTTCTGAGCTTCCCAAAAGCGGCAATTTTCTTCGTACCTGAGCGCAG